ATCATGGCCCTCCCCCCCCAGGGCCCCATTCCTCTGGCCCCCGAAACGACACAGCCCTCTTGTCTGACTTCGCCCCTCCCCCACAGCACAGCAAGAGGATTTCTTAGAATTTGGCTCCAGGATCTAGACTGTCCTTGCAAGGACAGGACAAGACACAGCACTAAGCTTCAACTCTGGGGGGCCTTGGCTCCACATCTCCATGCACTTTCAGCATGGTTCCTGCTAGGACCCCTGGCCTGCACTACAGGTCACCACCTGCAGGAAAGGGCTAGGCCAGCAGCTCTAGGGGCAGGACAGTGTGCCTGGACAGGAGAGGTCAGCTGCAGTGACCAGCTCACTAAGTCTGAGAGGGGCTCCCTTGGCCACAGAAGATCGACACAGAGGGTGTGGGGGCTAGTAGCATGCCCTGAGGCATTGTGGGACAGATGAGAGATTGGTCAAGCCCATCAGTATACTCTGATGGTCTCAATGAGTTGTAACTTTGGAATTCATTGCACTGCGAATAGTTCCCACCTTAGGTTTCCTGTTCCAACCTACCCCCTAAATGTGTACTTAGACATGCACTGCCAGCCCAGAGACCCCCTCGCATGCCAAGCAGACATTTCCCATGGAATAGGTCCAAAAGCGATCCCTGATTGCTGGGAAACGTCTCCCTCACCCTCTAACATGACAGTAAATATGGTTGGCTCAACTTTCAAGATGTTTTGAGGGTCTAATTCTTCCTTACCATCTCCAATGACACTACCCAGTAAACACGGGGTCTCCCTGTCTCTACCCTTGTCCTCTACAGTTTATTCCCAACAATGAGGCCAGATGGATCCTTGAAAGTGGGATGAATGTGCCAACCCCACTCTCACCACCCTTCCACAGCTCCCATCTCACCCACAGTGAAACCGAAGTCACTTAGGCATCTGAAGACCCCACATGATCTGACCTCCTCATGTCTTCTAAGTCCTATTGTTACAGGGCACCCCAATGTGAATTGGGTTGCCTGTCTGTGGGTCTTCACCCGTGCGATTACGATTCAATCGTATTATGGACACACTTCAAAAGGTTAAATAATGGATTTATTTATAAGGAGAAAGGTAAAGGGATAACCCAGGGAAAGAGGGAGAGAAACACAGGTTAACTAGGATGGCCTACCAGTTCTGCTGATGTGGACTCCACCGGCACGCTGAAAACCGATTGAGCGCCAAAACGATCAGCTGCGAACCACCAGGCCAAGAGAGCCCAAGAGCCCACATGCCTGGTTTTATCCCAGCCTGGCTGCTCAGCTCCGCCCTCACGTCCCTGCGTGCTTCTTCTTGGTACTGATGGGATTTGGAGTTCCAGCATCGAGTGGGGGCGGAGTCCGTGAAACCTGTACCTGTTACACTATTACTGCTCTCCTTCCTCACTCTGCAACAGCCATGATCCTACCCCTGCATTTTCTGTCCTCTCTGCCTGGAATAATGTTCTTATCTCTGTATCTACAAGTTCTTGCATTAGTACAGACTTCTGTGACCATCCCGTTAAGACAGCAGCTCTCCCTCACCAGCGTTCCTCCCCTACTCTTTCCACATCTACCACTTCTGCCATATTCCATCTTTGTTAAAACTGTGTACTGTACTGTGACCAGAACGTCAGCTCTACGAGGTCAGCCCTACGAGGCAGGAGTCTGGCCAGCTGCTGTATCTCTGGCAGCTAAAAGAGGGTCTGGCAAGTAAATGATGTTCAAAAAATGGTAAACGCACTGCAAAGGGACTGGGCAGCAGAGTTTGCTCAGACTGGCCTGGACAGTCAGCAGGCGCCTCTGTTCTCACGCCTCTTCCCACTTCAGGGATAGACAGAAACAGGGCCATCTGGAAGGAATGTTCCTTGGAGAAGTGATCTCCCAATGTTTCAAGCCTACCTACGCTCTTCCCATAAATCCTTTCCTTATGCCCTTGTCTCCATTCTTCAGTGCTCAGCTGAAGTGTCACCTCCTTTGAGAAACCTCCCAGGTAGACCCCTCCATGCTTAACTCCATTCCCCTCAGGAACTTCCATTTCGACAGGCACCATGATTCTCAGAAGTTACCAGCCCACAAAACAGCACCAGGCCAACTGGCCCTTGACTACATCTCAGAGTTTAGTGGCAGTTGGTCAGTAACCACCAGCCAGTTTTACCACAGTAGACACTGAGGTGTTTGTTGTTGGTGACGAACAACATTGCAGCCATAAATCACAGCCTGATAAACCCTGGCAGTGGGTTTATCCTCCTTTTTGAATATGTCTATTCTAGATTACTTCAGCTCCTTCGAACTCTAGTGGACCTGGCAAACATAGCCCTGACTATATCTGGCTCCCACAGCCACACGGCTGGGGGGTTGGGGAGCTGTTCAACTTCTTCAGGCCACCCCTACTGTATTCATGCTGGACACCAGGTGGTGTCTGGGAAAGTGACCGGGTCACAAGCAGGTAAAGGAGGGGCCATCTTGAGAACAAGGTGAGAGGCACCCAGGTACGCCCCGAGCTGGGGCAGGGACGTGGCTTTGAGGACCTGTTTGCTCTGCCAGGTGGGATGGGCCCAGACCACTTCAACTCCCTCCACTACCCTCCACCCTCCAGACAAAAGCTAAGCTGAGAGCCCCCTCCCTGTCACCTAGGCCCCGTGGGAATGGCTTAGGCCAGGAGCTGCCATCAAGCCTGCTCCATTCTCCCTGGGCCTGGTGACTTCTTGACAGGGTACAGCCCCAAAGACAAACAGATTCTGCCAAGCAAATAACTGTCCAGTGGTGGAGGTATTGGGGAAAGCCTAGGAGTGGGTCTGAGTTACCAGAAGACCCAGGTGACAGGGTGGAGGCCCCTTTCCTGCAGAGAACAAACAGCCTGGGTTATTATTTTTTTTTTAAGATTTACTTATTTATTCAAATAGAACAGGCCAGAGGTGCAGGGGCCGTGAGAGGCTTCACCAGAGATAAACTGGGGAACAGAGCTGGCTGATCAACAAAGTGCACTACTGAGGGGAGCAGCGGGCGGGTCAGGAGAGGTCTGCCTGCCATGCCATGTGGGTCACTGGGGCTGGGGATCGAACTTGCACTGAGGTGACTATGGCCCTAACCTGTTGCACCACCAAGGAGGGCCAGCCTGGGGTATTTGAAAGGATGCAGAACGCAGGGACCTGTCACAGTACTGGGAAGGGGGCACTTAGCCTAGGGGTCTCTGAGCCTGTTTCCCAGGCTCCCTCACCTTGGGCTCTGAATTGGTTAGTCAGGGAAACTGGAGTCTTTCATTCATGCTGTGACCCTTTCTTTTCAGGTACTTCCATTTCTCTCATGTAACCTGTCGCTACAGGTTCCCTCACCCAGCTGCCACTCCTGAAACCTAGATGGTCCGCCTTATATACAGGGCCAGGCCATCATCATTTAAACTTTACACAGCTCTGCCAACCTCAATGAAGCTCCAGTTCAGGGCATGCAATTAAGTAGAAATAATGCCAGCTCCTAGGAGCCCAGGTCGTGGGTACAAGGCTGACGCATCCCTTAAGCTGTAGACCCAAGACCCTGCCTTTCCTCTCTTGATTTCATGTTCCCTTCAACACAGAGCAGTGACCATGTGACTGAGGATAAACAAGTTGCTGAGCTCCAGTGTTCTACGGCTAGGAAAGATCTGGTGAAGCCACCGCTTGCCACTGTACCTACCGATTAAATTCCTTTCATGCCACGTGACCACCATGCCTCCACCTGCTGCCACAGGCCTAACTCACATAAATATGTGGGGCAGGTTCCGAGGCCATGTGCCACAGGCCTAGCGTGTGGGCCCTACCTGACCCTCAAGCTCCCACCCCAGTAAAAAATTGTAAAAAATTACCTAAATCCGTAGTAGACCAGGAGTGCTGAGTGCACCCAGGAACTACACCCAACCACAGCGGGAACATGAAAAGGGAAATAACATTCTCTATTCTTATCTAGGGTGCCAGAGGTCCCATCCAGTGGGACTGAGAAGGCTGAGTCCCCAACTCCGCCGTGTCAGCTTTCCCCATAGGGAAGATGTGCTCGATGCTCTGTACCCCTCTGTCCAGCCCTTACCTGTGCTATGTGCCTGACACAGAGCAAGGGTCCGAATGATGCTTGCTGACTGATCACACTGACCTGGTGGGTTCTTCTTAAGTGCTGGGAGCAGGGACCCGGTTCCCTGAGTAGCAAAAGGTCATTTGAAGCAGTTTCTTCACCTTTCTGGTCACTGAGAGCCAGAAAAGGTGGCAGAATTAATTATAACCCCACAGCAGATTCCCCAGACATATAACCAAACTCAGGGTCTCGAGTTTTCCCACTTACCAAAGGAAGAAACACCAAGCGATACACATCAGAGCCCCCAATGCAGCCATGTGGGAACTGGGGCGAGGGGGACAGAGTCTTGAAGACGCAATAAAACACCAACACACATGAAGACAGGTTTTTGTGTGTTAATTTAATCATACAAATATTCATTTATACAGTAAGGAAAAACCTCCTCATCTTCATCTCCTCCCAGGCACCATGAGGCCCCACCACAACACCCACCCAGCTCTCTTGTTATACACCAACTGTCCAGGTGGAGGGGCAGCCACTGCTGCCCAACATTCACCCAAGGAAGCAAAGGGAAGGCGAGGCAGATGGGCAGGATAGGGAATCAGTTCGCAATTCTGAATCCTGGCGACTCCACCATCCTGTCCTGCGGGGGCTCCGGTATTGAATTTGGGGAGGTTTTTATTCGCACACCCTCTTCCCACCCTGGCCACCCTCAAGATGTCTTGGTGAGGTTCTCTACAGGTTGGAAGTGCCTTCGATGGGATTAAGGTTACGGCCAGTTCTTACTGGGGAGAGAAGGTTGTTTCTTGTAGAAAAATGCCCCAAATCCGCCTGTTCCCATGGCAAAAGGGAAAAAAGGCATGCACACGTGCACACACACCCACACACACCTCACTCCATGCACACGGCTCTTCCCGAGGCTGAGCCCCTGCTCCCCTGCTGGGCTCAGGCCCCTCGTGCGGACTTCATGGATGCCAGACACCGGTCCTGCCCAGAGGCAGCCTGCTGTCTGGTGAAGACTCCGGAGGAACGGGACCCCTGGGCTGAGATGAGAGGAAGCCTGTACCACTCCAGCAGGTGGGGAGGGCAGGGGAGGGCTTGAGGCGTTGCTCAGAACCCAAACCACCGGGAGGAGGCAAGAGGAGTGGTGCTGACATCCCCTGGTCGTGGGGACGCCACAGGCTCCCTGGCCCTGCTCGGTGGCCGACGCTTGCCCTGCCCTCTGAGAGCAGCTCACTTTTCCAAGGATGTGCCCAGAATTGGTTTGCTCTTGGAAGGAAAGTCAACATGCATGGGCCAGTTGCCTTGCTGGGTGAGGCTGCCTACAAGCAAGAGGAACAGGCGGCCGCCAGCAGGGCGAGGTCTCTCCTGCCACAGCCCACGCCACGGCTGCTGAAGAATGGCAGGGAGCCCTTGGCGGGAGCGGGCAGCAACACTCGTTCGGGCAGATGAGGAGTCAGAAAACCAGGGATGTAAAGCCTCCCATGATCCTGCCAGGGCAGCCTGAGACGTGCTGCGCAGGGCACGTTGGGCTCCAAGGTGGCAGTGTCCCAGGAGGTTGGCACCAACAAACAGCAGCAGACTGGGTGAATAGGGCCCTAGCCAAAAAGCCACTGTGAGCTCCTGGCATGGGCCAGTGGTGGCGGGGGCACCTTGCAAGGACGCTCCTCTGCTCAGAAATGGGGCATACACCACGTGTACAGAAAGGGGCTGCTCTGGCGTGTGCCCTTGTCTAGCCCCGGCCCCAGCTACAACCCCTTCTCAGCAGGCTGGCTCTTCCCTCCCAAGGCTTCTCCAGTGGACCAATATTTATTCCTCTTTTTATTTACTTTCTTTTTTTTTGGGGGGGGGGCAGGTGGGGAAGCAAAGGGCGAATTTCATACAAGCTTTCTCCCACAATCAAACTTTAAAAAACAGTCTTAGAAGAGGATGAGGAGGAACAAACAACACACAGTTTTGGAACTCAGACACCCAAACAGAGACAGACAGGCAGGCAGACCCGCACCCACACCCAGGCTATATGACCCCTTGCAGCCGCTTGTCACGTGGTCTCCCTGCTTGCCTGTCTCACCCCCGTGGGGGGTGGTGTGGTAACAGGCAGGCGACCCTGCAACTGCACCTTAGATCCATATCCCCGGCTAGCAAACCGACCAAGACTCAAGGGAAGGAGGGGGCAAGAAGAGAAGAGGGACTTTGCATATTCTTGTATCTTTGGCAGACAGCTGTTCTAGCCTGGTTCAAGCTTCCCATGGAGAGGTCCACATCTCAACCTGCTTGAATCTACAGCACGCCAGTGGGGCTACCTGCCAAGGGAGCAGCCAGCCAGTCAGCCCTGCTCCAGCCCGGCTGCCCCTCGCCCACCATCTCCGATACCCAACACCCTGCTAGGGCAGAGGCTCTCATTTCCAACTAAATGTGGTCTCCGAGATCACACAGTCCATCCCCGTGGCCAACTCCCCATGTGGGGCTGTGTTTTCATACCTCAACAGCTCAGCCTCTACTAACAGGCTGTGAGAACACCACAAAGGACAACTTGAGGGAAGGGAGCTGTGTGATCACAGAGGAGCATGGGGCGCCCTCACACTCACCGCTGCACACTTGCTGGTGAGCTGCACCAATCCCACGCGTGCGTGGCACACACAAACACCTAGCACAGAGGCACGGTTCCCAGAGTGAGGGGGAAGCCACAGTGCACGAAGAATCCAAAAAAGCAGTAAGCATGATGGCATTTCTCTCTGCCAAGGGAAACATGGAAGAAAAGCAATCTGAATTGTTACAAGGGTGTGCAGAAGAACACCTGTCAGCCTCTGAAACTCCCACGTCACCCGAGATCTGTCCTCAAGGCTTCCTCTGCTGGCCACACAGGGAAGTTTGGTCTTCAGAGAGGTTCTAATGGTAACAAGCCACAGGGTTAATGAATACAAATGTCAAAGGTGTAAATCAACAGAAGATGAAAGAGAAAAGAAGAGGAAAAGGGTGATAACTCATTGGCCGATGCCATTAAAAACAAATGGGGTCAGAGACTTCTAGAGTCATGTGGCACGACACATGTCCTCCTGTAGCACTGACCCAGAGTCCCAAACATGCCACGCCAGCTTTTAACCTGAATTGCTTCCAGAGCAAGCAGCTAGTCTATAAAGAGTATGTTATCCCTTATCTAAAATAAAAGTGGGCAAAGAGGGGGGGAAAATTAACATGTGCTCAAAACTACAACCTGTCTGTAGGCAAAGTAATTTTTGTTTCAAAAGATGGCTTTTTTCCCCCACTTTAAATGTTTTTTCCCTCCCAAGTGACTAATGACTCGTCAGACTGACGCCTAATAAACAAAACCCAAGGTGGCTGCACGGATTTCTTCTTGGTAGCCTCAATGCCATTCCTGCGATTCAGCATTCACACATGCATACAGCATTTACTCAAAATTAGTCTGTTCTCCTTCTTCCTCTTCTTCTGAGATGGGGGGTCAGAGCCACGGGTCCGTGCGATGTGTCTGCAATCCAGAGGAACCCCTCGCCCTCCCCCCCAAAGTCAGGCCTTCTGTCTTTTGTTAATTTTTCTTCTTGCTCACACCGTTTTAAGACTGGCCGAAGGGGTAAGGCCCATGGAGCCCCTGGAAGAGAGTGAACACAGTCAGTGGTGGTATAGGTGCAGGTTTAATGTGACAAACAAACTGAGTGATAGAGTCTATGTTCCCAGGGAGTCAGAAGGAGGCCCTGAGACACAGGCAAGGGCAAGGGCCGTGTTTGCCACACAAAATGCCAGGAGGCCAAATATCAGCACATTTCAAGTTGCTAGTTCTCAATCGCACCATCCAGAGAGAAGGGAGGCTGGGGGAAGAGAGACCTCATCTTTCAACTTCTCCATCAATCAGTGCCAACTTTTCTTTACTCAGGGTGGGTACCCATGCCCAGGACACAAAGGCATCTTCCTTCTTGACAACATGTCTCAGTCTCTCTGCTAAAGGGCCGTGTGTACCTTCAGAGATGCTGGTTAGTGACACATCCACAGCAAAACACTGAAGCACAAACGCCTATCTCCTCTGCACCTGGGTACCAGGAGTTGTGTGTCCATAGTCTCACTCACTGTCTAGGTGAGTATTATCACACCCACTTGCCATCTGACTACAGAAACTAAGAAACATGTTCAAAGTCACAGAGGTAATAAAAAGCAGAGCCAAGATTAAAGCCCATGCCTGATCTTTGTGTTCCTCACACCACCTCTCCCTTAACCACATGATAAAGTTTACTGCAAATTCCTGAAGACATTTCCTATGCCATGTGGCTGGGTGGAGAAGGCCTCACAGTCTTTCTTTTCCCTTATGCTAATAATGAGAGGCCAAGATGTGTTAGTATCAAAAGCATCTTCATGAAGTTGCTGGAGGACGACTAAATCACTCTTCTCAGAGCATACTCTTAGGAAGGCCCAATCCATGCCAAGACCTAGGAGAGTAAAGTAGCTGGTAACCTGTCTCACTCAGCTGATGTACCTAAACTGGCCCAAGAGCAATAGGGAACTTGCACCAAAGAGACCAAGTAGGCATGGAGAAGGATGTCTCAGCCATAACTATGTGACCAGGGGAAGTCTCCCGATGCTTGCCTGCTATGTAAAGAAAGGTGTGACAACACACACCTGAAAGGTTGAGATCCTATGCCTCTTAATTGTAAGATACATCAACCAACCAGCAAACAAATAAGTAAAAGTATTCCCAATCTAAGCATAAGAATGACTGAGATGACATTTTCCATAGTTTGATGGGACGGCCTTAAAGAAAAAAAAAAAGGCATTTCTCTGAAGTGTTTGGTTGCAGAGCTGCCGGTGAGAAGAATCCCTTCTCAGTATGATTTGCTGCTGCCGCTGCCATCTCCGCAGCACTCAACGTGGCACCTGGTTCCTAGCAGGTACCCAGTATGTATTTATTGAATTAACAATCGAAACAGGAATTTCTCACACTTCCTAGAGCGTCAGCTCCCCTAAGTCACAGGAATACAGGCCTTACGGTAGTGTGGCGTAGGCTAGGGCATGTGTTTCCAGGTCACGTCATCCCCCTGGTCTCAGCCTCCAGATGCTGGGAGAGGCTGGGCTCACTGGAGATGCACCACAGTGGACTGCAGTGGGGTACAGGTCACACCCAACTCTGAGGAGATCTGGGTTCTACGCCTGGCTTTGTACCAATTCATCACGTGACCTTGAGTACGGGCCTTTCCCCTTCTACAATCTCAAGCTCCTCAAGTCTTTCCAGATTATGGTTCAAGGAATTGACACAGAGTAGCTGGCCCAGGAGACTGAAAAAGAATATTCCCCCCTACGCCCTAAAAAGGGGGAAAAAAAAATGCCCATTTGCTCACTCAGGTGAGAGATTGGAGCTGCCAAGAATAAAAACATGAGATTTAAGTTTCTGTGATTTTTACAGTGCAAAGCAGTGGAACTACTCTTTCTTTTCCTTCCTTTATTCCATACAAGGTCTCAAAAGACCAGAAGTATGTCTCTAGCTGCTCTGTGGTATCACTGAACAAACAATCCCGAAAAGATGAATTTAGGGGCTGGGCAGGCCCATAATGAGGAGCCACTGCAGTATCTTAACACCTTCTCTTGAATTCTCACAAAGATCCATTCTTGAAGAAATACGTTCTTCCAGCTCAGAGAGGTGAGGGGATCTGGGTAATTGGATCAAGGGCACAGAGCTGGTAAGTAGAGAAGTGGTGTTTAAAAATGCCACTGTCTGCCAGTTCCCAGTCAACCATGCCTCCACAGGGTGAGCTAAGGATGTAAACACCTGAACAGTACGGACACTAGCCCATGCAGCCAAGTGTGATCTGGAATAGCAAAGGGCTCTCAGCTTCCATTTTGTGGGGCCTGGTCAGTGAGTCACACCCACCGGAGGAGAAAAGTAAAGAAACGTAAAACAAACTGCTCCAACATAGTACTTCCCATGACAGTCATCATCCAGGAGTCTCCAAGGAAAGCAAAATTATAGCTTCAATTCCATAAGACTTAGAATCAATACTCAAAGGCCACAGTGCAGGAAAAACTGCAGTGAGAAGAAAACCCACAAGGCATTTGTTTCCTATAAAACATACCCCCCACCCCTAAATTTAAGTGATTTATAGACCAAAGCTTCTCACACCTCACATGGGCCTTTATACAGCAACTACTAGCCTGGTGATGTGTCTGGATGCTCAGAGAAGGGTGTTCATAACATCGGCTGTTGCACAGTCCATTTATAGACAAGTGAAACAGGCCTGTGCAGCTGGCAGAAAGGGGAATAAAGATGTGGGCATTTTCAGATTTCTACCTGAATGCCCTAGCCTTAGGCAGTCAGTGTAGGGGTTAACCAACCTAAGACTATGAAATTATTGCTGATTCTGTTTGCTGACTGAGGTTATGTGCCTTTTGGGAAGAAAAATCTACCCAATCCCCTTTCACCCAGAGTAAGGCTTACTGGAGTTGTTGATATTTAATTGGTGCAGAAAAGCAGCTTGAGCAACAAGCGCTATTTTCCTCCCAAATTAACTACCATCACCTCAAGGAAGGGAGAGGGAGCCAGTTCTAGTCTGAAACCATTTTATCATCTAGACTTCCCACACGTAGGGTTACAGGTGTCACAAGTGGATCACAGAACAGAGGCAACACAACACCAGTTATAGAGGAAAAGTCTGGCGGAGATTCCAAGAACAGCTTGTCCAGGGTGTCCTACGGCATGAGCCAACCGGAAAGTGTCTTTTCTTTCTTTCTTTCTTTTTTTTTTTAAAAAAAGATTTATTTATTTATGCACAGAAGAACTGGGGTATAGGCCAAAGGTGTAGGGGGTGAAAGGATTCACCAGAGACAGTGGGGAGCAGAACAGGCAAATCTATTGAAGTACACTGCTGAGCAGAGCAGCAGGCAAGACAGGAGAGGTCTGCTGCGCCATGTGGGTCACTTCCCTGGCTAGGATCTAACTCCAGTTTCCTCAGCACTAGCATGATAATGCTGAGACTTAGCCCTGTGCCAACAGAGAGGCCCCAGAAAGTGTCCTCTAACAGTGGGATAGAGCTATATTTGAAAAGGGAGGGCCATCCACATTTCAAGCTCCAATGAAGTGCCAAGACCTGGTGTAACTGGTTCTGGTAGCTAATGTCTCCCATCCCAGGCTAACAGTCGGGTTTGGCAACACAGGTAATGTTTAGTCTCTTCTGAGGTCTGAGCCTGGCATTAAACACTGACTCAAAAACTGGCCATTAGCGTGGTCACCCCAAACTCAGGAAGTCTGAGGCCACCCTTCTCTCTCTGAGGAATCTTCTCATAGGAATAAGCAGTAAGGCTGGATTCATCAAGTTAATAAGAGTGTGAAAAATCAAACCTAGAAAAGAACTCCTGGCCAGACTGAAAGGCCAGTTCCCCAGAGTCTACCCAACTTGCAGAGAAATATGTTTTCAAAGGTTGCATTTCTTGGGGCAGCCCCACATCTATGGGACAGGAGTATGTACCTGGTAAAGTCCATAGATACTGCCTGTTTGCCTCAACTTCCCTAAGCTTTTCAGCGAATTGCTCATATAGCTGTGAACCCTGGGACCTCTGTTATACTTGGCTAGAGGGCAGGTGAGTCCTGTTAAAGCAATGAAATGCTGTACCTGCCAGCTAAGGCAGAGGTGTCTCCCTGTTCGCTGGTGTCTGGAAAGAGACCCTGGCCTTGAGCCAGATGAACGATTACAATTGTTGGGCCAGGTCCTGAACTGTACTTCCACAATGGAATTATTGCAAGTCATAATTTGGCCAATTTTCTAAAATATTTTTAAGAGAACATTTATAGACATAAAAGATAAACTCAGTTTCATTCATCAAAATCTACTGAAAGGACAATTTAAGATGTAATACTTGTGACTTTTAAGCCTATTCTTAAAGGAAATAATTCTTTCTTTGATCTGTTTTTCACAATAGTTTACAGTTGTTCATGGACTAGCCTGTCATTCCCAGCCAGTGATTTGGTTATCACTGATATTAGCTGATATTTTTAAGTTCTTGTTAAAACTACACAGAAGTAAATATCACTCATTGACCACCCGCCCCCCATAGTACTGAAAAACTGTTAGTGAGAGAAAACATAACCGATGTACTAGAAAACATGGAAACAGATTTCTGCAATATCTGTACTGTTAACAGTAATAAGTACAGCCAACCCACCCATTGGTGAAGGTGATGCTTGCTTGTGTCAATGGTACCTGACACACAGTAAAATTCAAACATCAGTAAAATGAGAACAGCTAATTATTCTGTAATGGCGGACCACTGTTTTTTCAATCTAGGGGGATAAAAAGGCTGAAACTCCTAATGAAACAAAGAGCTTTCTGATCACTCTTTTTCTGTATGATAGCTTCTGGTTTAGGTAAACCATCACAAAATAAAAGCTTTATGATCCTGGCTTTTGCTTTTATTTGTGACTTAAGTAAATAAAAAGGTTCATGAAGGTTAGTAAAAATACGGGAGCTTCTGCTTGCGTGGCTGCTGAAAAATTAAAAAAAAAAAAAGTGCTCTTCCAGGGCACACTGGCTGCAGCACCAGTTAACACCCCTCCTGCCTGCATTCCCTGGCCAATCCCATCAGATCTGCCCCCTCCCAGGAGCATGCTGATGG